ATATCAATGTCTGATAGGGCTAGCCCACAGTCATTATTGGTTTTGGTTAGAATTTCCATTATTCTTGCATGCTAACTTTTCTACATTAATTTTAGAATCAGTGTGTCAGTTTGGGAAAATAACCCTACTAATAGATTCATTTCCAAAAGAATTGACACACTTTTTATTTTGATTCTTTCTTTCCCCAGATAGGGTTTATATCTTCCTATTTATTCAATTCTTCTGTGTCCTGCAGTAGTGTTTGCAAATTTTCTTCACAGAAATATTGCATACATTTTAAAGTTTATTTTTAGATTGCCCTTCCTGCCTTCTTGATGTTCATCCTTTCTTCTTTCCTTCCTCCCTCTCCCCATTTCTCTTTCTTTCTCATTTTCCTCCCTCCTTCTCTCCCTCCCTTCAGGAGCCTTTGTTTTTTCTTTCTTTTTCTTCTCTCCTTTCTTTCTTCTTCTCTGTCTTTCTCCCTGCTTCTTCCTTTTTTCCTTCCTTCCTTCCTTCCATCCTTCTTTCTTCTTTCCTTCCCCCCTCCTCTTTCGTTCTTTCTTTCTTTCCTTCTTTATTTTTTACCTATTATAAACAAGATCTTTTCTTTCTGTGTATTTTTTAAATAAGTTAGTTATTTTTGTATAGGAAAATTATTGATTTTTAAGATCAGCATAATTTAAAATCATGTATTTTTAATTAAAATATATACAAAAGAGTATACATAATAGATTACATTTTAAGGAATGGTATAAATTGAGCATTCATATACCCTGCTATGGGCTTAAGAAATAGAAATACTAGTGCTTTTGAAATCTCTTGTGTGTCCTTCTATAAACACATGTCTTTTTCTTCCCCTCCTTCTGAGTAACTAGAATGTTGAATTTTGTGTTGAGTATTTCCTTGATTTTTCGTGCATTTTTCCAGCAAATTCATTTGATATCTTAGTTGTTTTAGTAGTGTCTGCTTTGACCAATATAAAAATGGTGTGTGTGTGTGTGTGTGTGTGTGTGTGTGTGTGTGTGTATTCCCATTGTTAGGTTTTTAGTTTTCATAGTTTTTGGTGAGTGGAACTATAGTTTGCTTTTTTAAAAATAAACTTCCTTGTCATCTAATATTTCATCTGTGACCACACAGAGATTAATTATCTACTCTTCTTGTGATGGACATTTGTAGTATTTCCAGTTTATCTATTACAAATAATATTGCAATGAAATTTCTTTTACATGTCTCCAGATATATTTTTGTGCAAAAATCTCTCTAAGGTATATACTTAAAAATGGTATAACTGGGTCATAGGGATGTTATGCTCAACTCCAGCTTACAAAATAATGTCAAATTATTTTCCAAGTGTTCGTATCAAATTCTATTCACAGTGTGAACAACAGAAGTTCCCACTGCTCCACATCCTTTTTAACCCTTGGTTTATGTATGTGTGTACATAATTTTAATAACAAATTTAAGTATAACATACATATCAAAAAGTGCACATATGACAAGTCTATAGCTCATAGAATGTTCATGCACCAACCACATCCAAGGTCAAGACACAGACATTACCAGTATCCCAGAAATCCCCTCTGAGGCCCCCTTATAGCTTTTCTCCACAATTGTAAATACTGCCCTTAGTACTAATACCATTGTACTCATTGTACCATTGTTTTTGTATTTTTCTATCAGTAGAGTCATACAATGTGTACTTTTTTGTGACTGGTTTTTCTTTTTTCTTTTTAATTTTATTTTATGTGCCTCTGAACTGAGGGTTGAAGACTGGCTTTTCTTTAAACCCTGTCTGTAAGGTACATCCCCATTGTGCTTATAGTTGTAGATTTTCATTTTCATTGCCATATAGTATATCATA